TTAAATGTATACCTCTCCTGCCATGGAACATGTCTCTTAACTATTTGGAAACTTCCTTGACATGTTTTGAGTCTTCTTCCACCTCTCTCTCTCTCACACACACACACACACTTTGCTTTAGATTGTATTTTTAGTGAGATTGAGAGCATCCTAGCGCATTGCATCAAGAGTCTGAGCTTTGTGGCACTAAAGAATTTTTAAACAAGTGTCGCTAGCTTGTTACTCTTAGAGGTTCACGTTGCTAGATGGCTTGGAGCTTGTGGATCCGTGGAGCACTTAAAAGAAGATTGTGTTGTCCCAGAGTTGGTTGTACGAGATTTTGTGCTCACCAGCCAGAGCGATGAAAAGCAATTCTATTAGAATCGGGGTATGAAGGTAGGGATGAAAAAGGATCGGATACGGACAGATATCAATGATATTACATTTGTTTTTTATATTTTCTGTCTAGATTCGGATTCGAATAGGGATAGTATCAACCATGACAGATAGGATACGATTGGATCTCGACATTATAAATATGCGATTTGAGTATTCGGATACGGATACGGTATCAGATGTTGAATATTCGGACTCGGATACGGATAGATCTGAACCCCTCTAAACAGATTCGGTCTCGAATACGTCGGAAAATATCTGTACTGTTTTCACCCTAGTTGGTACTAACTGGCTCAAGATCAAGTTGTGCCTTAATAGATGAGCGATTGAACTTTGAATATCCAACTCAATGTAGGTTAGGGATGATCGTAAGTCATGGGTACCGCAAGATAATTTTTTCATTATCTCTTGTGCTCAATTTCCACTTATGCAATTCACTTTAAGCACTTAACATGCTTAGACATTAAATTATTGAATTGTCATCCTAAGTTGCCAACCTTCAGCTAACTTAGCAAAAAGTATTTAGGGCTCTCTTGTGTTACCAAATAAATTTGTCTAGTGTTTGTGTTTTTAGTTAAAACCATCTACTCCCCCCCTCTAGCATGTATCCTTAATCTTGCACCAATATATGCATTAGTGCACAAGTGAAATAGACAATTTCAAAAGGCTTCGTAATATTTTTCTTCAAAGCATGCTTTATTACATGTCTTCCAAATTGCCCAACGTAACATAGGGCAGCAATCCCAAATGCATGAATTTTTCTTTCCGTTTGGCAACCACTTCTTTACACATGCCGAGGATTGAGTTAGATTCTTAGGAATGTTATTAGAAAACAGATAGCTACAACAGCCTAAACCACTTGGGCAACATGACATTTAAAGAACATATGAATTACGGTCTCCTCCTGTCAGTGATCACAAAAGTAACAAAGATAAACCAACAACCCATTTTTAGTAAATCATGTCCTATACTCTTATAAAGCTAAATTCCACTAGAGATTTCTCTCAACATGCAATCTATCTACATCAACAATCCACTATAACTTACAATTATAGCCTTATAAAGCTAAACCCCACTAGAGATTTCTCTCAACATGTAAGTTATCCACATCAACATTCCACTAGAACTTGCAATTATAGCCAACTAGCACATGTAATTATGATAGTTATCTCTTCATCCACTAACATGCATTTAGCTGTCCACATCGATGTGTTAAACCATTCACCAAAATTAATTTAAGATAATTTCATTCATATAACTATAAATATAAATAGTCTAATTTCTTTTAAATTATCTGAAATCCCCGCAACAAATTCTCCTAGTTATCATTGATTAGGACCCCATTATTTTCAATGGGCCAAAAAAGATTGGAAAATAATTATGTTTATACTTGAATGATTATGTTTATCGTTCAAGTACTTTGATACAGAAGTGACCTATCTGACAATTAAATAATGTAGCATAGGCTCTACATGTCTTGATCACCATTGATAGCAAGAAGTTCACTTTTGTTAAAATTGGTCTTGAATTCAGACATCAACTCATACAAATAAAATAACAACTTAAGATTCCTTGCATTTTCCAAATCATGCTTTAGACATAAAAGCTGGGTCATCTGCATATTGCATAATGACAACTCCTTTTGGAATGATATGGTAATTAGAAAAAAATAGTTGATTTTCTTCCAAATCATTCCTTTTGGAATGATAAAAATATTTTAATCATTATTCGTTGAGGTCTTTTTTTCTATGGTACCAATGAGAAAAGAATTATTTTGATAAAAATATTTTAATGCATGATTTAGGGATTTCTTTTGGTTGAGATATTTTAATGTCAAAGCAGTGAAAAATAGGATAAGAAGGATCAAAATAAAAATATTCTAATGCATGATTTAGGGATTTCTTTTGGTTAAGATAGATAAGAAGGAGAAAAAAAACTTACTCTCATTAAAATAGTGAAAAATTTAGACGCTAGAAGGAGGGCTTGAACCTCCGACCTTGTGGTTAACAGCCACACGCTCTAACCAACTGAGCTATTCCAGCAACGGATGTCCTCCGTTCTGCTCGGCTCTCCAAATTCGTTACAACCGCCAGCAGCAGATGCCAAAAAGAACTCAGTAGCCCTAGAAAAAATAAACGAAAGCTCAGTCCCACCTCGTGCTCACCTCCCCTCCCCGTCCCGTCCCCACCCCACGCCGGCCGTGCCGCTTCCGCCAGCCCCTCTCCGCCACCCGCCGCCGGAGCAAAGGTCGCCGCGCCGACCGCCAAATCCTCCTCCCTCTCGTCCCCATCCACCGCCGCCGGCTGGGCTGGTGCGGAGCGGACGGACGGACGGAGATCCGCGCGCCTCCGGCTCTGCTGCGTCGTCGCTACGCCGGCTCAAGGTCAGTTCCCTCTCCTCCCCCACCGCGGCCCGGGTCTCACGCGGCCCAACGACCCACCGCCGCCGCCGCCGCCGCGTGGTCCGTTGCGTACTCGCTAGCTGCAGCTTGCTTCCCGGGGTTAGTTTTTTTTTAGATGGATTTGATGAGCTGATACATTTCGTAGCTTGATGCTCACAGGTGCGCTGTATGATTTGGGGGTAAAAGAGCACCTTTGTTTTCATTTTTTTTTGCCTTCTCTTTTATGGAATCAGTTTACGAATCCACTGCAGCCCCCGTTTCCTACAAGGACAGATGCGAAGAACAGTAGCGAGGGAGTTAAATTGTACAGTATAAATTATATTATTGGGAGGTTTTAGGGTCTTTTTATGATTTAATCCACTACGAAGTACGAACTGGCCAATGTGCCACTGGGTCTGCCATGGGCTGGGCTGGTATGCATATAACCTTTGGATGGAAGTGATTTGGGTGTGTACAACCGGTTCATGCAAATTTCCTGCATTTCTCATTTAAGCTAAGCAGCACTACTCATGCAAGTTTCCTTGGAAATGTTTGTTGCCTAATATAATAAAACTCTGAATTCAAGCTAGTAATTCTTTTGTAGGTAGTTAAAACTCCTCATTTTTTCTATGTATAGGGTATGGAGGCTGAGTGAAAAAAGTTTATTGCACTGTGCTATTAAAGATATGAGTTAAATGCACCGTAGGTAACTTTTGGTGTTGTGTCATCTAGGTCCATCAACTTTTAAACTGTATTATTGGGTCCATTAACTTTTGGTGGTGTGTCATCCAGGTCCATCAACTTTTAAACTGCATTTTTGGGTCCATTAACTTTTGGTGGTGTGTCATCCAGGTCCATCAACTTTCAAATTGCATTGTTGGGTCCCTAAACTTTTTAACTGGTTCACCGTAGGTCCATACCCCTTCGTTTAGCGAATAGATTTGACATGACACGCCAAATAAGCCGCCACCGTGGAGTAGGTGATGAGTCCATAGCTCCTCAAGATTCATGAAGACTTGTCTAGCAATAATTCAAATGTAGCAGCTGGTAATTCGTTAATATCCTCTGGTCTTAAATTTGGGACTATTATTTGTAAGGATAAATATATTGTGGACATGAAAAAATTTATAACTGCTGGACTGTCATCAAAGATATTTTATAGAGGTGCCTTATTATTGCGTGGAAAAGAGGAGAAAATGAAGCCAACAAAATACATCAGTACTAATTCTAAAGAGGTGGAGATCATCAAAGGAATTTTCCCAACGTGATTAGCATCCTTGCCGTAGTATTTTATTATTTCCATGCATTAGTTTCCTATCCAGTTGTGATACACGATCTTTTATCTAGCATCTAGCTTTTAGTGCCTGCGTGCACCTGTGTACGTGAATCAAATTGGTGGCTGCGTTTGGACGTGCCATGCATGTTAGCCGAATCAGGGACTCAGGGTCAATCGGTCCTAGTTGGGCTTGTGTAGTCCGAGTTTTGTTTGGGTCAGGTGGCCTGCGTGCCTATACCTGTGGCCTTCGGCCTTGTACCGGGTAGATTAGACTGGATTTTATTGTGGAGTTTATTCCCCGTTGAGCCGCCGCTCGAGAAACCCTAGACGGTGATCCCATCAGGTTTTTCGTATTGAAGATTATCTCCGGATGGTGATCTCGTCTTGTACTCCACGGTGGCTGCTTTTTTGGCGTGCCATGTCAGATCTATTCGCTAAACGAAGGGGTATGGACCTACGGTGAACCAGTTAAAAAGTTTAGGGACCCAAAAATGCAATTTAAAAGTTGATGGACCTGGATGACACACCACCAAAAGTTAATGGATCAAAAAATGCAGTTTGAAAGTTGATGGACCTGGATGACACGGCACCAAAAATTAATGGACCAAAAATGCAGTTTGAAAGTTGATGGACCTAGATGACACACCACCAAAAGTTAATGGACCTACGGTGCATTTAACTCTAAAGATATTATTGAACTGGGTTTCATCAATATACACTAGGAAATGACTGAGTTCAAATGGATAATTTTCAAATATCATAGATACATACTGCTTGATGTGCCAAACAGGGTGAATTCATCTGCAAGCCAGGATGTTGTTTTGCCACTTCTTGATTACTGTACAAAAAATAGAAATATTTGTTCTAACTTATGAAAGATTAGAATAAGTAGGATTTTCACCATAGAATTCTCAATGGCCTTGCTGGATCACAAGAGTTTCCCTGTTGTTTTCGGTTCAGATGATAGACATGGTGTCTGCCGTTGAAGAGCTTAGTGGGTTAACCTCAAAAGAACTTGGGGAGATGCTGAAGGAGTCAGACAACTTTGTTTTGCGGTCCAAGACAGAAGACGGAGGTCCAAAGCAGGTACTTGTATGTACAAATGTTTGCATATGTTGCAAACTTGCAATGCCTGATTCCCTGACACCTGTTCTTTGTTGTAGGTGGACATGGAAAAACTTGTGTCCTCGCTTCCTCTTCATCTCCTTGCTGTATGTTTGGAACTTGGGCAAGGCCCGGACTTGACATATGTGCTTCGTGGCATGCGCTTTTTGCATAGTTTGTCTGATCTAGCATCCCGCCATGCTAGACTGGAGCAGGTTACTCCTTTTATTATCTCGCACAAGTTTAACATATGATACCATTCTTATGTTTCTTATGGGTTATGATATGATTTGAGGATTTTAATATTCCATGTTAAAAGCTAGCTTGTGAATTACATCACATACGTATGATGCTTGGATAATTCAAGTTATTTACTTTGAGGCCCTATGGAATGTAATGAAACTTCTTTGTTGTCATTAGGCTGATAGACTTTGTCCAACCGAGCTCAACCTGTTTTATATTTGGATTTTATCTTCTGGTTGATTTGATTTAGCTAAATGATGGGCACCTAGCTCACAGCAATATTTCCTTTGCAGGTTCTTCTTGACGATGTCAAATTATCCGAACAAGTGATGGACCTGATATTCTTCCTACTTTCTATTCTTGCTGAACAGAAGAAGGTTTCAATGGGTTAAACCAAAATGTTTTTATTCATTCATGTGTGCTCCACTTTGAATTATCATCTGATACTAATTCTGGTAACAGCTGTTGTTTTTAAAATAGGAGAATAATGATGGCACTTCTCCGCTTGTGCATGCGTCACTTGTAGCAGCTAGTCTTCATCTGTTGACAAGTTACTTCTCTTCCCAGTGGCATGAACTTGTCCATATTCTGCTTGCACATCCAAAGGTAACATGTGGGTTTATCATAGGACCACTCTTCAATTTCTTGTGATATGTTAATTTTATCTGAAACATAACTTATGAATTTTGCCATCCACCTTATTTCTAAAGCAAAAGACCCCATGTTGTCTTTGCTTTTATTTTGGTTCCTGATCTGCTAAGTTTTGTTTACTACATCTTTGCTAACAGCTTCTCTACACTAATCTCATGGTAACAAAGGTTGATTCTTGGATTTATCCTCTCCATGAAATATAATCATGTAGCATGATTTTGAGTGATAACCTTACTCTTGATGTTTTATTCCAGAGTTATTTTAGCTATCCTTGTGTGGCATTTTGTGCTTGAATCACATAGCAATCAATGTTATCAAGTCTTCTGACTAACCGTGATTAGTCAGGCTGATCGGTGCCATGGCGATCAGTTATGCACTCTGATTAGTCACGATTACTCATGATTAGCCACGATTTGTTGGGCTGATCGCTGCCATGGAGACTAGGATCGGTTAGACGATTTGATAACATTGATAGCAATCACTGCAAGCTGCCATGTCAATTATTAATCCAAACTTGCTGTAAAATCTTGCAGTCGACATGAGGCTAGTTTTCTGCATTGGAGTTATGCTGCTTGAATTTTGTACACATACGTACATGCCTTCTTACTTTTCACATTAACATTGCTGTTAAAACTCAGTTCGTTTATCTGGGTTATATCAGTACAATAGATCCCTTGTTGTTCTTACTGTCGTATAAGCATGATTTCTGAGGTGTCGCCTAGGTGTCTAGGCATGCCCCCAATGCCACAGGGCACCACAGTAACACCTTGTTGCCTAGATGTACAGGCGTGCCCCCAATGCCTCAAAGGCTATGCTTATAAGAGACGTAGTTTATGCTAATGCTTGGCTGACTATTGCCCAGTTTATGTTCTGTGTGTTATATGATGCTATGATTCAAGTTTTTTCATGTGTATATTTTTGTGATCCTGTGATTTGGGTTTTTATATGTGTATGTTGTTTGGAAAAATTCTATCTGAGCACTTGTTTCTCTTTTTGATACCCGTTGTACACATACCGATTCATAATGCTATTCTTTCAATATATATGCTATTCAAAGCAATGTGTATCTGCTTAGAGCAACTCCAAAGGGGCCCTACTTGAGCCCCCATAGCTAAATATGGGGGCTCAGGTAAAAAATCCAACTCCAGCAGGGCCCCTACTACGGACCCCAAATTTGTGTGGGCGCCCAAATCCTCTCACTAGACCCCATTTTGGTTGGGCCAACAACCCGCCCCCCATCCGTCTGGCGCTGCTCCTCTCCCTCCGGTGGCTTCCTCCGACGAGCGTCGCGGTGTCCTAGTGCGGCAGCGAGCACCTGCGGCGCGGCTCCCTCTCCTCCCTTGCGCGAAGCGAGATCGAGCACCGGCGGCGCGACTCCTCTCCCTCCGGTGGCTTCCTCCGACGAGCTCTGCGCGCGACCAGATCCACGGAAGACAGGGACGGAGGGCTCGCCGGCTCCTCCCCTTCGCGCCGCCCTGCCATGGCGCCTGGCCCCTTCTCCTCCACCTGGGCATGCGCAAGCTCGAGCGCGCGCCCCCTGCCATGGCATCTGCGACCTCCCCTCTCCGGCGTCGTCTTCTCCGCCGCCGCCGCGTGCGCTCGGGCCCGCTGCTCCCCTCTGGTCCGCCGTGCGGGCCTCCCTCTACTCCGCCGTGCGGGCTCGGTCCCCTCTGCTTGGCCGCGCGAGCTCGGCCCCGCAGCCCTGCCGGCACAGGCGAGTGCTCGTTCTGCACGCGTCATGGTATGTGGGGTGGATTTCAGGGGAAGAAGATAGATTTGACCCAATGATAAGTGGGCCCCTTATGTCATTGTCTACTAATATGGATTTGGGGGCCTTCGTTTTGGGGCTACAGCTGGAGTGGAAGCACAAATTTGGACCAACAAAAATAGGGAGAGGCACCCAAATATAAAATGGGGGCTCTAAGTTGGGGGCTACTGCTGGAGTTGCTCTAAGGAACACATAATTCAATCATTGGTGCGCATACTAACATTTAATGATTCATGTTCAGGTTGATATCTTTATGGATGTGGCCTTTGATAGTTTGCATGAAGATGTGAGGCTGTTAAATATCAGATTATCATCAATGGGCTCTGGTTCCTTTCATGTTGGTTCTTTGGAATGTCGTCGTGCTCACTTCATCTGCCAACAGTGTGAAGCATCACTGCAATTTCTCTTGTTGTTGTGCCAGCAAAAGCTGTTTCGAGATCGGATTTTAAAAAATAAGGTCTCACCTATCTTTAGAGGCATATAATTTTTTATGCTATTGAGGGGGAAAAAGAATACTTGGTGTGATTGCCTTTTCTTCTCCATTTTGACTTAGTAAGAGATTAGTAGTTGTGCTATACCATTTGATGATAAAAATAGAAGTTATCATGTTGACTATGATTTCACTCCACTGGTTCACATGGTCCATCTTTTCTTGTGCTTGGAACTTTATTAAATTATCAAAAATAGAAGTTATCATGTTGACTATGATTCCCCCCACTGTAGTTCACATGGTTCATCTTCTAGTTGGAACCTTATTAAATTGAATACTGTGTGAAACCTTATGTACTAGTTTTGGGTGAAGTTACATTTTTGTTGAAAAATATAGTAGGGCCAAATCTGTAATTGGCTACTACACAGTTATTAAATATAATGCTCTTGGAAGCTTGCATGTTAAGGAACTTCTCACTTAATGCAGGAACTCTCTAGAAATGGAGGCATACTGTCACTTTCTCACACTATACTGAAGTTAGTTGTCCCTGAATGTTTGAAGCAATCAACCGATCTTGTTGCTTCTATTTCCAGGCTCAAGGCAAAGATACTTTCTATTGTAAGTTAACTGCACACGATTTGCCAGAATTGGAGCGTAGTAGTGCAAACCTATATTAAGTGACTGATTAAATTGTTGATATATTCAATTTCCCAGCTGTTGCAACTTTGTGAGGCTGAAAGTGTCTCTTACCTCGATGAAGTTGCCACTAACCCAAACAGCAGGCGGCTAGGGCAAACCTTGGCTCTAGAGGTCAGTTCTACTGGGGCTGACCACTGCCCAGGAATATATTCCTCTGTATCTGCTGCTACTTAAAAAAAATATTCGCTTTCTCCAAATTTTGATTTTGCTCGGTTACTGCAGGTTCTTAATTTGCTGAAGATTGCATTTGGAAGAAAACAAAACATAAATTCTGATTCTCATGATAAGGGTAAGATTTACCCCATGGGATCTGTGCTTATCAGTGCATTGCGTCTTGTTGATGTCTTCTCTGATGATTCAAACTTCAGATCTTCCTTTATGACTAACACTGTAAGTTTTTTTGCTTAACTACTTGCGTTAACAATTATATCTTGCATTTCCTTAGCAAGTGGATGTGTTTTTAAGCCAAGATAATGTCTTGCTTCAACTTCTTTTTGTTCATAAATTTTGCAGGTCCGTTTTTAACCCAGATTTTAGCAACTCCTCATGAGGAATTTGTTTCAAGTTGGTGCTCTGTCAACGCATTACCAGCAATTGAGGAAGATGCAAGTCTAGATTATGATCCTTTTGGTGCATCTGAGGTGGCGCTGTTAGCTTCTGATAATGTGTTGACTGAAGCTAAAGCTAACTATTCATGCCCTTTTAAGCTAGCCTGCCTTCAATGGCATATGCACAGACAAGAACATCATGTGTAGTGAAAATAATAGCAAATTTGCATATTTTTGTTCCAAACATTTGTGAAGGTTAGACTATTCCTACATGTTATGAGTTTTAATTATTCACAACACATTCTTTAAAATAATTTCTGTTTGTTCTGTCAACAGAGCAAGAAAGGGATCTTTTTCTTCTGAACTTTCAAAAGTACTTGGTGTCTGGGAGTCCTAAACTATCAGCAGGCAGGCCAGCTTCTAGTGATTTCAAGGCCACTAAAGTCTGTAGAAACTTAGGTAAAGTTAGTTTTGCTGTTTCTAGTTATCTGTTGGTTAATATATATCCATTATGTGGCATGTCTAACTTCTGTGGGTTTTGTAGGATCTTTGTCTGATTATGCTAAAACATTGGTTCGAATTTGTTAAATGTGGAAGACGTCGTGTTATTAAGGTGCTTAAAACCATTTTACTGTATTTTATATTGTATCCTGGTTTTCCCAAATGACGATTATGTACTTTTTGGTTACATGCCTGAACTTATTGGTTTTGATTATACTTTATTGTGTACTCCTTGATAATTTACTGCTCTGAATGCCTTGATAATATTTCTAAGCCTTTGGTTACCTTTTGGCAGTGATTTTTCTGATAAGCTACAATCTTGGTGTAAATCACAAGTTGAGCAAGTTGCAGTAAAGGTTTGTTTTCTGTACTCATTGTTATCATAATGACCTATCAATGGTACTGAAGTGTTTGACCTATCAATGGTGCTGAAGTGTTACATTTTGTTGGCAGAGAAATCTCATCTTTATCATAATAAAACAACTGCTGAGCGTGCACACTAAATAGAGGAATTTGCACATAATCTGCTCAGTACAAATTTTATTAGCCATAAAAACATTAAGCTCTCTTTACTTGTGTGGCTGTTGATGCTTGAATACTTGCATTGGATGTTCAGTTTGCATTTGCAGCAGTTTGCTTCAAATCCTTTTTCAGTCTCTGTTTAATTGTTGGATGGCCTCATTATGGAATGTTTCAGGTGGGACAAAATGATACTCCACCAGAAAGCACGGAGGACATTCACCCAGTGCAGCAGCCCTTGCTAACACGGACAAGCACTCCAGACTCCAAAATGAATAACCTTCCAAAGGTAAATACTTAGATGAGTGGGTCAATGAAACATCACTGGTGATTGGGTCCACAGTGAATTGGATTCTAATTGGAAGCTGATGACAACAGGATGTGCAGAACATGGAAGTGTCTACACCAATACCTCCAATAAATCCAGAGGGAAATGATAAGGATGGGACTCCAAAGAACAGTGTCTCTAGAAATGGTGGTTTCCTGCAGAATGCAGTTGGTCAAAACCTAGTCCATCTTGGCGTTGCAAGAACAGTCAGTGGTGGCTCTTCGGTTGTCGCTTCCAGTGTTAGCACTGGACACCAGCGCAGTAAAATGGATCTTGATCCAGCATCCAGCAGTGTGGATAATTTCAAAACACCAGAACTCACAAAAGAAAATGGTCTCCAGGAGGATGAGAAAGGAGAGAGTAGTATGTATGATGAGAGGCAACCTAAGAGAAGGAAGCGGACCCTTATGAATAATGAGCAAATAGATGAATTAGAGAAGGCTCTAGTAGATGAGCCTGAGATGCACAAGAACACTGTTCTATTGCAGAGTTGGTCAGAGAAGTTAAGTCTGCAGGTATTTTTCACTTGGGGGCATTCTCTTTTTACGTCTAATTACTGAATGCATTCTCATTTATGAAAAACACGGCTGTGCTTTTGTAGGGCCCAGAGATCACAGCATCACAACTTAAAAACTGGTAAAACTGAATCTTCTTTAGCCATCCTTCTTTGAAGTTTCTTTCTTCAAATTTATAATACTGTTTTTGTGCTTTTCATCTACAGCTATTTGTAACAGTTTTCTCATGCAAATTCCAGGTTGAACAATCGGAAAGCTAAGCTTGCTCGCATTGCAAAAGAAAGAGGACCATTTGAGGCGGAGAATGCTGATAAGCCATCTACACCAACTACTCTCCAACTTGGCGAGTCTTCTGAAAGTGCCGGAGAGGACAACTATCTACCCCCTGCGAGGGTGATGAACGCTCTATCCAAAGGCAGACTGGTGAGCCCGGACAGCAATGAGCAAACATCGCAGGCAGAGTTATCCCCGAACACAATGCTGGTCCGCCCATTCACGAGATCCTTCTCACTGGAGCCTGGCCGCCTCGTCTCGCTAGTTGACAGCGACGGGAAGGAGGTTGGCAGGGGCAAGGTCTTCCAAACACCAGGGAAGAGCCCGGCGGAGAGCCGCGTCTGCATGGTCGACGTCACTGAGCTCAGGACCGAGAGGTGGAGGGAGCTCCCACACCCTTCTGAGGCATCTGGGAGGACGTTCCAGGAGGCAGAGGCGAGGAATGGTGGCATCATGAGGGTCTCTTGGGACGTCGTCAGGCTGTCGCCTGCAGTGTAGCAAGGCAGAAACTCTTTGTCAGGTTGTACCGTGAGGCACAAGATGCGTAGAGGGAGCCTTTGGTTTAGGACGAGAGATCGGATCATGGGATTCTCGGGGGCCTAAGTAACATTATGTTAAGACCTTTGGTTAACTGTGATGTATCTATCAACTAATTGTCTCAAGCAATGCTGGTGGTTACTAATTTTACTACCGGTGTTACTGGCACCTGCAACGGGACATGTGAAACTGGTGCCGACTTTTTTTTTTTGAACGGACACTGCTAACTGATGGAATAGAATCTTTTGTTTCTTCAGTCAACGTGAAAATCAGTGAAGCTTTTCATGTCCAGAAGGAGCGTTGGCGGCGAAATTCTATAGGGGGTGATGGCCTGAGAGGAAGTGCGTGATCAGTTGAACACCACTTAACAAAATACAAGTAAACACCTGTTGCAAGATCAGCTTTGCTTATCAGTTCAAACATTTTATCGAACGAAGTAGAATTGATACACCAATGGGCAACCGAGGAAGATGGACGAGGAGAGACAACTAAAATTTCAGGATGGTGCACTTACCGTCAGGGAAATCAAAAATAACCGTCAGGCTAGCGCGACAAGGAAATTAGTAATTGTCTGCATGCTTTCCATAAAAAAATTAAATCATTTGAACAAGGTGGTACTATACGTTGTTCATAAATGGACACATGAGATATACCATTTGTGAACAATGTATGACACCTCTTTTTTAAACACATTTGAAACTTTTATTGGAACATTGTATACCAAAAACATGTTGTCATGCAAGTTTGTAGATTTTTCTAACAAAGTTTCAAATTATTACAATTATTTTATGTTAATTTAGAGATAGAAGGATGAATTATCCACAACAAACAAATGTTTTTTTTCATCCATCTCTGGATATGGCCAAGAGTGAAACATATTAGCATAAATATAAATTTTATAATGTTCTTGGATCCTTATTGTAGGTACCCACTGTTCAATTTGGAATTACTTTTGATAAGCGCGCAGAAATTCATTTAGACTATAGAAAATAGGAAATCGGTTTCGAAAATTTTGAAACATTTACACAACAGTATGTATGTAGCATATTTTATGTACAAAAAGTTTGGAGTATGAAAGACATTTTATAAAGGTTGTTTCACAAGGTGCTTTCTCTATATACATGAATGAAAAACAAACATATGCAAAAGAACCAAGAAACAATAATTGGTATCCAAACAAATGTTGTTAATTGGTAGATCATGATTTTAGACAGGACTAGGAAAAAGAAACATATTAGTATGAGGGAGAAACACTAGTTAAAAAAATTCACCGCAGATTAAAAAGAGAAAACCTTTTGTTCATGTTCTTGAGTTTCTAGTATTTTCATGTGTGTTTTTCCAGAAACTGTCAAGATAATTCTATTTACCCTGATGGTTTATGGAATAACTGTCAAGAAAATACAAAACTGTCAAGGAATTGGGAATTTCCCTGACTGTTATGTGCATTCACAGTTAATTAGGAATTTCCTTGACGGTTATTTAATTTCCCTATGTGTTTTCCAGAAACCGTCAAGATAATATCAATTTTCCTGTGTGTTTTCTAGAAATCGTCAAGGTAATTCTATTTACCCTGACGACGGTTTATGCAATAACTATAAAAAAAATTCGAAACTGTCAAGGAATTTCAAGTTTCCAGTAGTGAGAGGACGAAGGTAGTCGCGACCCGTGATGGCCTTAACGCGTGCCGCGCGTTTTCAATTAAAAATGTTCTCGAGTGGCTTAACGCGTGCCGACATGTTGACCCAAAAGAGGGGCGGGTCCTAACACCAGTGAGATAACAGGTTCCCACAATATTTCACTTTCCCACCTAGCTATGACAAGGAGCAAGTCAAGAAAAAAGCAAAAGAAATCATGGAAACGTTCAAGACTTTTAAGGAGACATTGTACAAGCAATATATCCTCAAGGGTAAAGAGCCACAATGGGATAAAAGGAGAGTACACCAAGCAGAAGGACTTTTGGCAGGAATTCAAGGAATACAGGGAATCCCCGGAGTACTTGAAACTGAGCAGGAAGAATAAGGAGAACTCGTTTAAAGCGACGAATCCTCATCATCTCGGCTCTCGTGGCTACGCCAGTAAGATGGACGAATTTGAAAGTGAAATTGAGGAATTGGAACGGCTTGGCATTGAGCCTGAGACTGCCCATTGGGTACCCACAATCCAGTATTAAAGAGGTTTTCGGCTCCACGCCAACCCTTATGAGTAGGAGTAGTGTAGATCTCGGCGAGTTCTTTAACAAGTAGGGCTGCATCAGTCCGGCCGACCTCCGGCTTGTCTGTAAGTACCGTCATGGCTTATACTTCTATTTGCAAGGCTGCATCGGTCCGGTCGACCTCTTGCGAGCTCTGGTATAAGCTAGTTATCGATCCTTATCTAGTTCAAGTACGGTTGCATCGGTTAAGTTCGACCTCCACTGCTCGAATTAGATTAAGGTTAAGTTATCGGCTCTATCTAAGGGTGGCATCCTTCGGGTAGATTCATTAAGTTACCGATCTTGTTGATGTTCCTATTATCATTAGTTTTAGCAATATCAACCTGCCCGATCGAGATCAATCTAGATCGGCCTCACATTCTTTTAGTCCATCGTTTATTTTTGTTACATTGCGACGGTTCTTACTTTAAGCAACGGATTATGTTTCATCAGCTGTTCTACTTCGATCTTGATTGTGCATAGTATGCGGTTAAGGCATGTCTGATCTTGAGAAGGTTTACTAGCTAGTTGAATCTGGTCTATAGCTCGCTATTATGGATGTAACGATCCGGTCGATCCCCACTGTTAGTACTTTAGATCAGAGTATGCTAGCTGGTAGACTTGCTTTCGACCAGGCGTGATCTTGGTTGTTTGCTATGCCTGCATCGGCTAAATAGCCGATCGCCCGCACTTTAACGCTCATAGTGTGTTTTCATAATTCTGTTAAATGTGAATATATCTGTTTGCTTTAAATGTTTAATCTGTTATCTTTATTATGGCAGCCATCGATCCGGTCGAACCCCACTGTTAAAGATAATAGGCTAGATTTGAGGAGTTTATAGGTCTGCTCGTATTGAATAGTCGATTGTTCACATGCTATGATCCTTTTTCTACCTGAATCGGCTCTTTAGCTGATTCGCTTGTGCTTTCACACATATAGCATGTCTTTCAGAAATCTGTCAACGTATAGATGATTTTATAAATTCTTTGGCTTTAGTTTGTTGTTATCATCATAGCTGTATCGATCCGGTCGAACTTCACTGTTGATGGCAACGGATCAGATTCAGAACGTTTGTAGATCCATTTGTACTAGACAGTCGATTTGTTCGCATGTTACATCCTTTCTTGTTGAACTTATCGGCTCAATGCTTTACACTGATTATACTTGTCTAGCTGATGATGTTACTTACATCTGGGTACATTGTATTCGTTACTGTAAAATCAATCATGACCCGCGAGCTTTGCAGTCCCTAACGGTCGATTTCTTTTCGTATCGGCTATTTAGTTGATTTTTCCGTCTGTCTGCTCTCGAAGCGGCACACTTGGAACTGTCTGGGTAAAACCGGCATGTTCCACCTTAAATTACTGATAAATTTTCTCTTCTTGTCAATTACAGGTTAAATTGACTGGCACGCCTTTGGAAATTAGCAGGATTGGCTGGTCCTGCGTTGAAGTCAAGCGGATCTCCGGGCTCATCCCAAGCAGATCCTTCCGGCTTGCTGCGTGTTGACATTTTTGTGCCGCGTGTTGACAGAAACTCAAAAAACTCTTTTACTAAAACTTGTTCATCTTCATGAGATCCCCAACATTGCTTAAGTGACCAACATAAAACAAACACAGGTTTAAGAGATTTCGAAGTTTGAAGATGGTTACTTTGAAACTGCAGAGCTAAAATTCAGTTAGGGTTTTGCAACTTGTTTTAGTTAAGCAACTTTGGACAATTAATTAGTGAACAACCATCTATCAAACATCACAACCAATTATACATCATCACAGATCAAGCATACTACCAAACAATGAAATAAAAGTTACCTAACTTTTATTTGTGAAAGTTGATTCAATAATTCACCAAAGCTTGAACTCAAACACTGTTTTTCAGGTACAGGCTAAAATGCTAAGTGAGAGAATGACAATTATAAATTCAATTTTTGATGCTCAAATTCAACATGTTTGACTTAAAAACATCATCACATTTTAATTCTATATCAAAGCACACACTTAATACTACAAAGTTTTATTTTAGCAAAATTTAAATGCTTAAGAAATTTCACATATGTAAATTCACAAAGTTCCTTAATCACTATCACTAATAACATTTCATGTAACAATTAAAACACCACATAAGCAACATTTACATGCTATAATAAAGACATGAAATGTATTAATGACACAATGCTTGATGATTATGCTTCATGATGCTCATGTTCAAAATTTTAATTAGCCTTTAACATCTAGGATGTTACATTCATTGAAGACCAGGAGGTAAAAGATTTTTTTTTTGTTTCAGTATCTGTGTGCCCGTGTCTAATATACACTTTCACTTTTAGAAACAGTGTCTGGCAATTTATAATACGAGCTTCGCTGCATCCTGCTCATGGGTTAGGTGTTGGTGAGCTATTGTACATGGATGCAACTCATCGATTAGTTGGAACTCGCGAACCTATGAATTACCACTCCCTCTGGACTCTGGTCATAACCGTATTCTGGCCACCGGCAGCCAGTAAGCACACCACTCAGGATGTCAATGGAACTCAAATCTATGAATTATTACTACTACTCATCATCAGAACTCTGTTTGCAGAGAATCATTCATCACATGCACATGAACACACCATGCCACTGTGTAGATCTGCTAGGGCGAATTCATGTGAAATAGATGAGCTTGCATGTACCCCTTCGCCTCTATATATCTACTGGCATGCTGCAGCTTAAGGTTACTGCTAGAGGGGCAAAAGTTTACCATGACGATTTGAGAGATCGCTTTTTGGGT